TCATCAAAGCTTTAGGCCACCATGCTAACAGAATGTGTTTTGTCAACAGCCTAAATCCATCCTGTCAACAAAATCCATTCCGAAGGAAAATAACTCAATCTCTTCTGTCAACATCAGGAGCAAAAACTTGGTTGTTAGTATATGAAAAACAAAAACAAACCCACAGTTAACCATCCATATTTTCAGGCCAGAATTAGAAAAACACAAAAGTGGCCATCAGCTTAGCATATGTAAATGAAAACAATGGGGAAAATTAAGTAATGCATTTCCTGCTGTGATTGGGATGTGAACAAGCTATGGAGGTGTCCAAGCCACCACCCAGACCTCAGAACTGAACATCTAGATCCCAGACATGTTGGTTAATGAATGTGAATTTATTAAGAAAACTCAAAGGCTTAGTACACAAATTAGAAAAGTTCATAGAAGACAGAGAGCCAGAAAGCTGATTTCTCTTGCTGACAGAAAGCCACAGTGGCAGAAACATAAATAACACTGTTTGGGGCTTCATCCTGTCCTTTGTGCTTTAATTAGGACACAAATTAAGTGGACTGATCAGCTGCTACAGTCAGCCCTTATTCCTTATCTGTGCCTCTGTTTGCTAGGGCTTTCTACAGCCATTTTAAGGCACAGAGTAGATTTTGTGTACAATGATAACATCAGGTCAATGAAAGAGCCTTTCATAAGAAGCTGCAGCGTAGCGGGGAGCCTTTTAAGATCATAGGCACATAAATAGAAATGAATATGCTGAGTTTGGAAGGACATGATGATAGGTGGCAATCATGTTTGTGTGCACACATGTACACACATTTAAGTAATAACTATAACTGTACAGAAGCAATTACAGGATGAAACCATTCCTGTGCTCCCTGGAGAGCAAATTCATACAGCGAGCTCCTCCTTTCCCTCCCCTTTTCAACTCTCAATAATATAAGATTCACTTCCAAAATCTATTAAAATAGTCTCTAAGAGCAATTGCAGATATTAAAGCCTGATAGCTCCAACTCCTCTCCTTGTAAAAGAGGTCTGTCTCCCTGCTCATTAGTGCTCTCAAAAGTACATTGTGAATATTAGCAGTAGCTTTCATTCCAAGCCCTCAGTCAATACAGATTGATTGTTATCATATAATAAAAGTCAGACTGGGTTTTTAGAAGGGGTTTGGTGCCTTTGGGTGCCTACCTTGAGGTGCTGTAAGGGAGCCTTAATTTTCCTAAAGCACAAGCCGTACGCCTGCTTTCAGAAAAGAGTCTCTGTCAGTAATCTTAAGCCAGGTGTCCAAAATCAACTGCCTTTCAAAACTTATATTCACTTTCTTTTCTTTTGAGTAAGGCCCTGCACTGCGTTACACACACATAACTTAAAGGATGTAGCATAGTCATAGGAGCTTGAACATATAATGTCAGGGTTGGGCTCTTTGGCAGGATAGCTTATTAGATACATCAGAAACTATCCTGGATACAAAACAGCTAACTTTTTTTTTTTTCATGATGATGTTTGTCTCTCTCCATAATTAGTCATTGTGGACTCTTAAGCCTTAAACATCGAAAGTCAAAAGAACTTAATGAAATGTTACTCGGTTAAACATTCCCATGACTTAAAACAACTGCTTTATTTCGTAATCCTTGGAATTAGTATCATTAGAATAGCCTCAAGCAGGGGGAGGTGAGAGACAAGATGTAAGACACTTAATAATCAAAAGCAGATAAAATCTAACAAATCAACTCTTCTCCAATAACTAAAATGAGTATATTAATACGTAATCCTGGGGCCATTACAAAGCAAGCTTCATTTGATATCTTAGCCTATCCCAAATCTTGATATGAGCACACATAAAAAGAAAAAACTCATGTTGTGAAAGAGGCCTCTGAGTAGTTGGTACTCGATTAAAAATTCATCTTGAGCAACAAGACGTCAAATAGATCACTGCCTGCTAACGAAAGTCCTGCATCATTAAATTAATTCCATTTCTTCAGTTGCTCACTTCAGCATTTCTCTACTTCAGGTGAAATTCTTGCTATTTTAAAATTGGCTTCAGCCTCCTTTCAAAAGGAGCCTTACCTTCCTCCAGATGGTCTCCGCTAATTATCAGCCTTTTGTGCTGCTCTATTTTGGGCTGTATTGTGAAGTGAAAGGATTCATTTTAATCACACGAAACAGAGTAATAAAATCATCTCCATGGGGAACGCCACAATGTTTTTTTTTCACCTACAGAATAGTCTTAAGTGTTTAATGATTTATTGATGTAGTTGCTTTGGCTTTATAAGCTTTCTAATTCTGTTTAATATGCATGCTGTCTTCCAGACCCTTGATTACACCACTCGCCTTGATCATTTACAACTTCAGATCAGCTTAGCAGGCTCTTCCCAAGTTCTGTTTCATAACACTTGGCAAATAAATATAAACAACAGCAGTAGGTATTTATTTTTCCTACTAATAGAGGTTCTTGTATCATGACCCCTGGAAATGGGATGCTGTGCCCTCATCAATAACAGGACAGAGTCCTTTGGGACAGGGATCATCTATTACATACCTGTGCAGAAATTCACACCACTGCAGAAATCTTGTCCTCATCTCAGGAGAATAAATGTCGTCTCTGAATGCCAAATCCTTGTCTGGGTCTTGCAAGCACTAATCCATTGACAGTTTTACAGAATGACTTCTGCTCTCTCATTAAATTCTTCTATATGTAGATTCAGCCATCGCCTGTAAATTGATAACAGGGGATATTCAGGCCAAACAGCTTCAGAAACATCAGTGCTGACCTGGCAACTAGGAAAACAAAGGTTATTTGGTGCAGTCAAAGCTATCGGTCACATTGACAACATGAACCAAAAGGAGAAATAAAAATGTGGTTTGCAGCAGTAATGCAGAGCACACTAATGAGCTGTTGCTGGCACAGTTCAGCATCAGGGCCAAATAAAACACATCAGAAGGAAAAAAATGTGTGTGCATGCATAGACAGACACACGTATATGTGTGTGTGTGTACATGTATATATATAAAATCTAATATATACCATCTACATACACCACCATACCAGAAATGTGTATGCAACAACAACCTCTGTAACGCATCTGGATCTCACCTGGTTCCTCTCTCTGGACTGTGACAGCCTTCTGAATACAACTGAAATTTCCCTGTGACCATATTTCCAGTCTACCTAGAATAAAAAGCCACACAAAGCAACATACTCATATTCATTATCACCATGGACAAAATAAGTAGTTTATTTTACTTTTAAGAGCTTACTTCTAGCTCATACTCAGTGCCTGTGCGTTTCCAGGGCAGGATTCCTGTATTTGCATTTTTATTAAAACCTTATCAAGTCTAATGCCTTCATTTGTCATGGTACAATTATGTGGAACTGGAGATTAGGCAGAGTCTTACATGCCCCAACTTTTAGGTATTTTATCATGCCCTTGTAGTGATGGTGGTTATCAAGCCAATGGCCCCCTCTACCACCACATGAATTAATGGTTACTTTGCTCCCACCGTCTGTAGGAGGAGCTTTATTTTTCCAGTGATGCTTCCTTGACAAACTGCCTCTCAGTAATATCAGAGCTGCCATTAGAAAACCAGCCATGTGGTTTGTCCCAGGCATTTGCAGAAGGGCTGTGTGGAACAGACGCTGATTATAAGTGAACTCACATAGAAAACGTTCAGATAAGAAACCAAAGGAATCACTGTTAGCCCTTAATCCTAGCAATTTTAAGAAAGAAGCAGCAGGTATATAACTCAAGGAAACTTTCTCTGCAAGTGCAAAGGACACTGTGTGCCCCTGCAAAATCCATAGCACTCTTCCAGACTTCTGAATCATCTCAGCTTAGTCAGGCAAACACTTCTTTTCAGAGGAAAAAAACCCTCTCTGATGCACTTCACTTTCCACAAACAAAACACTGTGTCTGTAATGCCCTCCTGCAGCATAAATTCATCCGATAATTGGATCTGAAACCACAGCTTTGAAATTAGCACTTCTTTCTTTTAAATGTATTTCAGCTGAAATGTTTACATTATTTAATTTTGAGGATGACAGGACCATATTTTTACATACGTGTGAGTGTTGGATATGCAAGCTGAATGTATCACAGACCATCATCGCCGCAAGGACTTCTCCAAATTCAACTTTCTCCATGTTTTCACAGCTCCCATTGCTTCACCGTACATATGCAGGCATATATAGTATGAAATATAGAAAACAGAAATAGTATGTAAAAGATTCACAGCTGATTCACACACCAAAGTTTTTATGATGAATATTTCGTCCTACAGAGGAGGGATTTTGCGTGACACAAGAGCAAGGCTTTCAGAAATAAATGCAAAGATACTGCTTGCTGTAAACCTGGCAGCTCTGCAAGGGATAAGCAATAGAGTGGCCAAATGCCATCATCTCTGGGGTAAAATAAAAGATGTCTGATTGCTTAACGTACCTCTGAAAATTTACCCATCAATACAGAAGATAAGACAGTGGCCAGCTATCCTCAGCGGGACCCTTTCCTTGAGGGTTCATGTTACTAACCTCAAAACGATTCAAAACCCAAGTGTAATACCAACAAGTCTTAACTCCCAGTGAAGTCAGAGGGAAAACTTGAACTGAAATTATTTAGGGAAGAGCTGAGTGGACCCGATTCCCCTTTTAGTCTGTTATGACTCCATTAAATTCACCCGAGTAACTCCCAGGTGTATGAGGAACTGTCTCCATCTGAAGCCTGCCTGCAGGTTTGATCAAAAGGAGATGTAATAAGGGATGGCAGCAGTCGTCTTGTATGGAAGCTTTCCTAGCTTGCTCTCAAGCTTGTTTGGTTCAGAGAGCAAAGATCCATATTAGCTGGAAATAAATAGCTTAACAGACTAAGTATTTCAAAGTGGACCTGTAGCAGATGGATAGCATCATTTTTACTCATTAATTCTCCAGAGCAGGAGGAGCCTCTCACCTGAGCTATTACCTAAGCTTAATGAAAGAGAGAAGCGGAGAGGAAAAACTGGAAATATTTGTCTCTAAATCTTTAAGCGTCCTTTTACCCTTTCTGTGAATCCCATTATAGGAATTGGGCAGAATCACAAAACAACACTGTAAGGCAATGAAGAGCTACCTCATTCTCTGCTTGTTTTGAGCTCAAAAGCATCTATTGGTTCCATGCGGTGGATTTCCTGGATGGAGAAGAGATGCAAATCAGTCCATGGCTGGCCAAGAGCTTCCAGCTGTTTGCAGATTGGATTGGGGAACAATAGCAGGCTGACATCTCTTCTTTCTCATTTCAGTTACAGATATGCTGCTGCTCTTGTTGTCATTTATTAACCGTGGATTAATTGACATTCCCTTGAACTTGATGTGGGAAGGATCTTCCATAATCCCTTCTCTTAACCCAGCTTTCGAGTTCTGCAAAGTTACTTTCAACGTGAGCAAACGTTATTGCATCCCCGGAAAAATTTGCAACAAAGCAATGAGGTGGGCTGACGGTGCTTTGAAGCAACCAGCGGCTAAATTGTTGGGAAAAAACCTCACTTGGCACATAATATTATAAGCAGCAAAGCTAGTTTGTAGCAGCACAGAGGAAAAGAGGCTTAACAGCCCAAGCACTTGCACTTCCAGCACCATAAAGCTGGTCAAATAAAGGAAAAAATTTATGCATGTATAAAGCCATTTGATGATAGATGGGGAGGATTAAGCTCTGTTGAGTAAGTTATCCCCTGCAGAATGTATTTCAGCCCTACCGTACTGACAAATAATGGGCAGATTAACTGGCTAAATTTTGCACAAGGTAATGTTTCCTAGGGTTGTAAACCATCCCTTTAACATACCAAATTTGAAAAAAAAAAATAAAAAATTGAGTAATGAGTAATTTTTTTCACTTTGAAACTTGTTTTCTGTAAATTCCTCTCCCCTTGCTTAAAAAAAATAAATATATCTGCACAAAAGAACACAATAAAATTAATCTGCATCAAGTTCTAAAATGGATTTATTAAACTGTACTAAATCCCCATGAAGACTATTTGTTCAGTGCAGTTTAATATCATTCATAACTGGAATATGATAAATTGACCTAAGGCTACTCTGAATCTAGATGAGAATTAACAATGTGGTTTAATTAATCCACTCCAACTTCAAAATCTCTGTTACTTAAAAAAAAATAAATAAAAAAAATCAGAGTTTAGAAGTTTGTCAGCACTGTGGCAGTTAAGAAAATCAGAAAAAAACGTACAAGTATTATTCCAGTTCTATTCCACTATGGAGTATTTTCACACAGAAGTCTTTGTTATGCCAAAGTGGTGTAAAAGACCCTCACAATAAATGACCTGCATACATCTTACTCGAGTCCTCTGGCTGCAAGTGAATACCTGTGCCATCACTTAAATTTTCCATAAAGGGAACAAAGCCATTTTTCTTGCCTTCCTGTCTGCTTTCTCCTCCCAAATCAAATAAATTTTAGATATTTAAATGAATTAAAAGGTAATAAATCCTCACCTGAGAAATGGTAGAAGCGCATAGCAAACACTGTGCTTAAATAATTTAGAAAAATGACCTGCTGTGATATTCTGCCTTCTGAAGTTCAGGTATTTATTAGATTCCCTTTCTTTGTGCTTTGGTCCTTTCATGAATATCATTACATCAGCAAAGGTGTCCCATGCTACGGAAACGGCTGGGTGGCTTAGTGAACCTTTAACAACTCCTTCTGTTCCTTTCTGATGGCTGTGGCACCTTCAAAGGAGAGCAATGATACGGTCCATAAATTGTGTAAGGCCTAAACAAGTATAGACACAGAGAGTGGTAACGTTTCTGATGTGCAGAGCTATGAATCTTCTCAAAATCCTCCCTAAAACCTCAACAACAAAAAACAGTTTACTTCTCCAAATCCAACAGAACTACACCAGGAGTAAATATTATTTTCTTTTCCATTCATTGCCTTGACTGTAATTCTCTGGGCACAGACTGTTTCTTCATGTCTCTGGGTACAGACTAGCACAATGAGCCCATGTCTCTGCTGCAGCACCCATTAACAGAATTAATTAATGGAATGCAAACACGCTTTCTAAAAATTTTCACACATTTTTCTGCTCTCTAATTAGATTTCTGTCACTATAAACATGCTGCAAAGAATACCCTGTCTGAATCTCCATATAGGATGCCTGAGAAGGAAATCATTTACCTGACGGAAATATAGAGATGCAAACTCCAACTACTTTATAACCTTGTTATTCAGAGATCAGCCAAACCAATGCTTGAACTGGAACACAACGTCTACCTACAACTGCCTACCACCATGAAAGGACTGATAGGACAACAATTTAGCTGCAAATCTGCCTTTCTGTAAAACACCTAGCACAGTAAGAGCCAAAAAATTAGTTTTTCTAGGCCTTAAGTCAATAAAATTATTAATTCTTCCCAAGAAGACCACAAGCAGAACTAAGCTAGGAACAGGTTGCCCACAGGCATGTGATTCAGGTATTCATTTAGATACGGGGAAAAAGCGACCTAGGAAAATAGGTAAATCTATTTCCAAAGCTGAGTAACTGAAAATTGGTTTCACAAGGTGACATACCTGATTCGGATGGTACCGTACCTCGTTTGGCATTCAGTACAGCAGGTATCACAGACAACACGTCCGATTGAATAAGCAGCGCCCTCTGGTCAGTTCAACAGATGGACCACCTGAGGAGAGGTGTGATCTGTTATCAAATAAAGTCTGTTTGGGTGGATTGCCTTTTTCTGTCCATGTGAACCAAGGTAATTTTCCATGGGGGGACACTTGTAACATGGGAGGGCTGAGTTTCATTTGATTGGCAGCTGTCACTCAATAAGCCAGCACCCCTGCCCTTGCCCAGACCGTGGGGTGTCAGATGCCAACCCCCTTCCTTCATCTCCCAGATTTCTTCAGCTCAGGGCCCTCACATTGCCGAGACTCCCAAACAAGGTATTTCATACCTATTTTATAATAAATGTCCCCTGACAGATATTGAGCCCACACTGGTAGGTAACTTAATCAACAGTCAGTCTCCAGCAGTCCGTACAGCAAATTACAGCTGGCATTTAATAGAACTGCAAAGCAGAAATAGCTTTAACACACCAGTTGGTATTTTAGGCTACATAATAAATTTACAGCTACCCAGTTACATATCAATTAATAGCACTAAACATCTTTAATGTATTAACAAAGAAGTCATTCAGATATTAAAATTTGGATTAATTAAAGCAGCAATGAGGTTTTAAGTGTCCGATATTTTAAAATTCACCTGATCTTTTCAGTCATTACAAAAGGACCTTTAGCCAACATTTATAACTGCCTCGTAAAATTAAAACTGTAGGGAAAATTAGAACATGCACTTGCAAATATTGCTACAGTGCACTCAATTCCAGGTCAGCCCAGGGCACAGCCGCAGCCCCAAAGCAGCAGAATTAAACAAAGAGCTGCTCCAGAAACCACGTTATCATTTGAGGTGATCTGTACTTGCAGCAGATCACTGAACAAATGGAAATCAAGTAAACTCTTCGATTTATAACCCCACGGGTGACTCTGCTTTTCCGTATATTTACCCAGCAGTTTGTGGCTGGCTGACTGGGCTGCAGAGTTAACTGGAAAAGAAGCAAACAGGAGCACGAGAGCTGTGTCTGAAGTGGCACCTGCTGACCTGTAAATATTAAGGCAAAGAAAGGGAAGAATAATAGGTCAGACTTATCCCGACACGAGCTTTTAACACAGAGTTACCTCCAGGATGATTATGGCCCACTCCGAGATGCATTTTTTGTGCTGATGGTTTCACAGTTTGCAGCATGTCTCTGTGCTTGCTCCCTAAGGCCAAAATGAAATGTTTACGAGAACACCAAGGCAGTGTTTTTTCTTCACAGGTCTTTACACATCGTCAGTGCAGACATATTTACAATAGGCCTTTCACCTGCTATTCTTAGGAACCTTTGCACAGGGATTGCCAAGACCTGAAGTTACTGTAGAAAAGCTGCCTATAGTCTAGGACTAGCAAATTATTATAATGAATTTAATATCATTTTCCTGCCCTTGTCTTATTGGATAGGCCCCCAGGCTAAATCAATTACCCTTCACACTCTCAGGTTGTCATCACCTCTATGCTCATGCTCTCTCCCATCTTGTCCCGTCTCACCCTTTGCTGTGAGCTCCACAGAAGCAAGTGATGCCCTGAAATATTCACCTGTGCCAGGAAAGATCTTTAGCACCATAACCACCAGCACAAGAACTGTTCAGAGCTACTGTAATGCTGGTTTAAAAATAAATAAAAAATAATAAGGAAGAAAAAAAAAAAGCTAATTGGAATAAAGGCTAATCAGGCAGGACTTCCTCTTATCACCTTCTTATCTCAGGAGCTGGATTCCAAAACTTTGCCCCACCACTGCATTGTGCAGACCTTCAGCTCTTGGCTCCACCCAAGCAGCAAACCAGTGCGACACAGTGAATTTTGTATAAAACCAGCGGGCATTACGTGATTTCATGGGTCATCTGAGTTAGATTGCCCTCTGCAGCTGTTCCTAAAACTTGTATTTTGCCTGCTCCTGCTTATGCCTGCACTCATACCAGCAGCCAAATGCCTGCTGAATTCCTATCTGTGTTCTGCTTTATGTTAAATGTTAATGCTGAAAGCACTAAATCCCACTATCTACTGTGATTTCCTTTCCTTTTGAACAGCAATCAAATTAAGCATGACTTTCACTTAACTGCCTCCAGGTGGGCACCCAAGGCTGGGGTCTATCACTGACAGCAGTAGGTGTGTAATCAAATCGAGTTAGACAGAGATTGATATTTTGCATACCCCATAATTATGTTATTAAAGATCTGGCATGTTGTTTAATGTCAAATGATGTGTGATTGCTAGAAATGGAATGCAATTCATTTCGTATTTCAGAATGGGGAGAGAAAGTCTGGTAACGGGTTTCTGAGAGACAACAGCCATTTTCTACCAGCCTTTGGGGTACACTACAGTTGTGTGTGTGTATTTTTAATACTCATCAAAATTAACCCTTCTGTGTGCCTGGACCTAACAGAATGCATATTGGTATAGTTCTTTATCTGATAGAGTGGTTTATACTAATGCATCACGCTGCTGCAAATCTGCAGCTACCTGGAGCTTCAGCATGATGGTAGAAACCCAATTTTAGTTTCAAGCCATTGTGAAGCTGTTGTACTTACAATACAGTCGTGGAGATTTTTTAGATGCTCAGCTCTCCCAGTATTCCCACACCTGTAGCCCGGCTCCAATCTCCTTCCAAATTAAGCACTAGAGGAAGACTCTATTAGTGGCAATTACTCATCACTATATATATATATGTATATATCTCATTCTTACTCCTCCATCCCCTCCAGACAGAGCACACCCTAACCTAGGGGCTTATCTACACTTGAAAGTTAATTCAAGGTTACAGTAGGGCATGAGTTTACAAAGAAATAGATATTCTTTAATAACCACAGAGAGAGAGCTATTCTAGAATAAAGGGGCTTTATTTAGTTCAATTCACTTTCTTTAATCACTAATCCTAAACAGGTGATTAGTTCTTTATTAACACACTGAAACCATATCTGAACCCTTCAAAAGCCATTTCTTAGAATTCCCTGGATAACAAGCGCGGTCACAGATCATAATTAAGCTCAGAGTGAGGAAGTATTGTTCTGCATGGCAGAGCCAAGCTGAGCGGGACTGGGTGTCAGACAGAAACTACACTCCAAGTCCTTCAGCCAAATCATCTTTCCTTCGTTAGTAATTGCAAGAGCTGGATAGAGGGCAAACTCCTCAAAAGAAGTGTTGGCTGAACAGCCCCCTTGTTTATTTGCACATTCAGAAGAGCTTTGGAAATTAGGTTTTTATGATCCGTTATAACAACCCTCTAGCACGGAGACTTTGCAACCAGAGATTTTAATTTATTTGCATTATCATTTTAGGAAGAGTTGCCCACAACAAAATGCCTTTAGAGCATCATAAATAACACACTGCTAAGACTGAATCATTTTAAGAAATTCCTCAGTAGAGAAGAATGAAGGAAATTTACAGAAATTCTAGAAATACAGAAATTACACAGGAGAAATAACAGAGGCAATATTCTCCTAAGCTTTCACAAGGAACTAACAGCATTTCATTTTTGGATGATTTATTCCTTTTATTTAAATTAGAAACGTGGCTGCAGATTGGAAAGAAAAAAAGGGAAAAAAAAACAACACCATTCCATGTTTTTTAAAGTAGTCTTGCAAGAGAGAGAGCTTTATGGAAGAGCCTTACAGGCCTGGAAGATTGACCTCAAATTTAAGGGTGGAAGTCCTAAGAAATCAGATCTCCCCTTCTCTACTCTCCCACATACTCTTGAAGTGTCACCGATAAAGCCATGGGAGCAGAGATTTTTCAAAAGCACTTCAGTGCAGCATCTAATTCCCAGGGACTTAAGGCCGTTTGGAAAAGCAGAAGTGCAAATTTGGTTTGTGCAGCCCTTTACTTCCCAGTGGTGATTAGAAGGAAAATACATCAGTGCTGAAAATATATTCAGATACTTTGGTAGGAGATACCTATGCCATGAGAAAGACTTAAAGAGGGAGTTTCAGGGCTTCACAGAAATCTTGCCAAACACACATTTAACTCATCCTACAGATTGTTTAAGTTTCATACAATTATTCACTCTTTTCAATTTAAAATGGTGACCAAAAAAATTACATTATGTTCAAAAGTGCTTTTCAGTCAAACTACAAGAAGCCCAACAGAAATCCTACAGTGGATTACTGATGTAGATGCTCAAAGCATGGGAGCACTTGAAAAAATGAATCTGTATCTACAGTCATTTATATTAGCTTTGTAAAGCAAATTACAAGGACCACCAGAGAGGTTTTAAGAGCAAAGTCTGGTCTCTCAAAGTGAGACGGGTCTTCTATACAAACTTTGGACTCATGTTCAGATTTGTAGTGTTCAGTTTAAGGCTTTTTGAGGACTTTGGTTGCTTTTCAACCTTAGGTACAATTCTGGAAATTTAAAACAATTAGAGCAGTATTTATACCCACATCCATCTCTAAAAGTCAGTAAACAATGAAGTTCTTTATTGCAAATTCACTTGGCATGGGAAGGCTGAGAATTAAACCCTCTTCTGACAACTTAGTCCGAGACATAGTTGCTGACTTCTGATTGCAGCTGAACTTCATTTCAAGTTTCCCCAAATGTCCCTGCTAACTGCTCACTGGACAATTCCAGAAAAGCCACACAAATCTGAAATTAATGCTTTGCACGAGCCAGGGCAAAATGACAAAGTGCTGAGCTTTAACCTTCTGCCTTTGATCATCTACTATGCAGAATTCACTGAGATCTCGGAATTACCATCTGCAGCTTCTTATATCAAAGCTGTTTCTTGCTTGTACTCATTTGTTTCCATCCCCAGGTGTACTGGGGATAGTATTCTGCTGCTCCTTGTGCACCTAATCCTTTGATAGTACATCATTTATGAACTAAAACCTGGTGCTCTCAGTTTGCTTGGGGTGCTTTAGTGACCCATAGATTCCTCATCTAGAAAAAAGCAGCCTCTGCTATAGCTGTCTGCATAACCCCTGAGCGATGCCTTGCTTCAAAAGAGACAACAAAGAACTGGCAAGTAGTGGTGACATCAAAATGTGCCAGGCTGGGTTTGCTTTACAGACAACCAGAAGCTCTGTGGGACAGCTTGGGAGGGAAGAAGGCTGATCAGGAGGAGAGCAGGACTTCTGTAGACAACTCAACAGCTGGCCTCCTCTGTGCAGGACCATGTTGTGTTTTAGACAGCAGTGACTGCCATCACCCTGTCTCCTACCTAACAACTGAGCACAACAATTTCAGGACAACAGGAACTCCATTCTAAGTCTCCAAAGGATTTATAACCACTACATTTTCCCACTGCCTTTTTTTTTTCCCCAAAAAATGTTTAATATGCTAGTCCACATTTACACTTTGAACACTTGGTCTACAAAATGTGTGTATACACCTACCGTAACACAGCAGTGACTCCAGCAGCAGCAGTGGGGTTGTTCTGTATATTCAGGAAGTCAATCCTCATATTTTGTGTTGCCCACGGTTACAATCTTATGAAAATGATACTGCAATTTCTTGCTGCTGAAATATAGGAGAATATATCAATTATAAAATACTTTAATATACCAGCCAAAACCTTGAAATTATAATGCTGTTGTGTCTTTAACTCTTGTGAAGCAGAAGACAAAATGTTTGCATTTAACAAAAAACTTCTCTCATTATTTTGAGAGTATCTGGTCTATGATTTTTAAATATTTGGGACTGGTAATAGAAATATAGGTGCTCAGGTACATCTTTAAAATACTAACATGAGGCTGAAGATTTCCAGATCTCGGCCTTTTATAAAATTTCTTCTCACCACATCATTTGGTATAACCCATAGTAGTTAGAAAAATACACAGAAAATAACCAGGCAGAACCCCAAAACCAATTCATGTATGTATGCAGCCTTTATTCTTCCTGTTACAGGTCATTCTACCCGCAGAAGTTGTTTGTCATGTGTATGAGCGTAGAGGCATTTCAGGGAGCCCACACTTGTTGTCAGCCAGATGGAATCACATTTATGACCCAGCAGTAAATACCTGTCGCACCATGAACTAGATCTATTGGTTCCATTCCATAAGATGCTGAGCCTTTAAATCGAGTGAATAATACAAACTGACTTCTGGCACGCTCACAGCTAAGCACATGCTTAAGCACTGGAGAAGTCAGGCAGGCTCAGGATGCTCTTACCTTCCTTCCCCAGAATCAGAATCGACGTGAGGCTTAGGAGCCCAACTTATCTTCATTAAAAACCACCATAGGGACTGTATAAACCTTATCTGGGCTTTTAATATTTTTTTTCAGACAGTCTGTAACAAAGCTGCTTTCACAACCTCACCTAAGAGCTGCCAAAATGATGCTAATACTCAAGGCCTCAGCACTGGGCATTCAGATTAGCTTTAATTCTTCACGTGAAAGCTTAAGAAGAGCCTGTCTGAGGAAGGTATTCTCCAGGCTGCAAAGCTGGAAATCATTTCTGGGGATTACGTGTGGAAAATTCAGTATATCAGAATATCCAGAAACAGGAGAGGAAGACACAACGGGAAGTACCAGTTTCACACCAGTTCATTCAGCTCCAGTTCACATCCCTGGCCATGAAAACGCAGTTCAGTGCAGATGATGAGCTCCATGGAATGATGTGTGCCCTTTCTTCATGCTCTCTCTGATCCTGTTCTCCTCCCTCATTTAGCTAGAAGAGCAAAACTGTTTCAGGACACCTTGTCTGCTTCTAGGAGTACAAACAAGATCAGTGTAAAGATGGTATATGGGCATGAACATAATGTAGAAAATATAGAAGTAATATGTTACAGAAGTTGTCACATATAACATATTCTTAATTTTCCGAAGTATTAAAGCTAATTTAATAACAACATCCAATAATATCTTTTTTTTAGTTTTTCTTTTTCTTTTTTTTTTTTTTTTGGTAGTTAGTTCACATACCACTGTCCTGCAAAATAAATCTTAGCACGTTCAAAACTACGGTGTCAAGAGCCACAGGGTATTTCCATACCACGAAGCAGGTCAGCATCCGGAGAACAGCAACTCTCAGAACAGCAGGGTATCAATTTTCTCCACTATTCTGAGGTATTCTGCAGAAAACAAGGTACTAAGTCCAAAGGGAAACGTTATAAAGTTTACTACTGCAATTATCACTTTCACTGAATGTTTAGCACCCTGTAGCTCAATTAAAAATAAATAGGTCAGCTGGATTGAATGAAAAAGCACTAATTAAGGCATTTTTTTTTATTTTTAATTTTGCCCATAAGAACTGAATCCTCAACTAGTATTTTTATTGAAGCTACCTGATTTATATAATGCTGGATTAATTAATTTTGAATCACTGTTTGATCTTTTACGATATTGCTTTACTTTCTTCCCCCTGCTTGCGAAGTGTGATTAGGCTGTGCCGCTAATGAGAAACATTAATTTAATAGTTTTTAAATACATCATTAAACTCATTTCTTGAATACATTAATATTTCTGATTTATTTTGAATTCAAACACCAGCTCTTCCCCTTTAAGCAATGAAAACTTCATTCTGCATTTGTAATGAGATCAGTTGATGGTGTGCAGGGGCATCTGCCTTCCTAGCTCTCTGTCTCTCTATTAGAGTACAGAAATTGCTAAGTGCAATCAGAGACCTGATCTTTCTTTCATATCTGACACCTGTTGTAACTACCAAGCCTAGGGAGCTGAAAACAGGAAGATTCCTAATGTGTCTTATAGCCATAAATGTTCCTAACCCTACAGCATACTGAATATTTCAATTGCAGATCAGCATAATCCCTATGGCTAGATCTCTTAACATACCAAGTATCATTTCGTTAATCCCTAGGAGAAACAACTCTTTCCCACTATGCAACAGCTAAGGAGCTTATCCTAGGTTTTAAACACTGCCAAGCACAGTATTTGCCCCAGTACCAGATCCCTGAAGCCAATGCAGTGTCTGTTGAGAAATGACTTGCTTTTATTAGCATAGGAAAGGAGAGAGAAAATGAACTCTTTCACAATAAAGGTGGCGTTTTCTTCAGCTTTTCTTTCTGCTAAGTGACTCTGCTATTATGGCTTGGTGTAATGCACTGTTGCATGTTATTATAAGAAAAAAGAATACAAAGGTGAAACCAGGAAAAAAAAAAAACACTCTTCTCTATTTTGACTAACCTTTTTCAGCATTTCCCCTTTCCTCTCCTTTTGATATAACACAATAATAAAGAGTATAACTTTATCAGCACTTCAAACACTAGCAGTCTTCAGAAAACAAGATGTTTTTGGTCTTGTTTCCTTTTTCTATCAACAAAAAATGCAAAAGGAAAAAAAAAAGAAAAGCATGACAGCCACCCTTGGGATCACACCCAGCAAAAAGAGAAAGAATAATCAAAAAATATTTCAACTGCTGAAGAGGACAGGATGTCAGCTCCAAGGCAAATAGCAGATGATATAAAACCTGACTGTCTCCATCAATTTCATGAACCAATCTCACACAGAAGGTGCTGGGGGGTTTCAGGTTCTTGTGGTATCCATGGTTCTGCACAGTTCATTGCTTTCAGATGTGCTCACTTCCGATTGTTTGACTACGTCTGGAATTTATTTGATGATTGATTGTATTGAGAAATGTAAGGAGGCATTTAATAGCAATCACCTCAGATTGCTTAGGTTGTGCAGTCAAATAGAAAGACTACTCTACCCAGGTAATGCAGTAATGGGTTTAGGCAACAGGGCATAGACGTGTGTATATGTGACAGCAACCAGCATCTCTGAACTCCCTCTGTCTTGCCTTTATTTCTATGGGAACTAGAAAGGAGACCAGGCAGGAATGTATCAGTCAATGACAGGAAGTTAAAAACAAGAAATAAAAACATGAATTACTTTGTTCGACAAGACTGAAGTAAAATTGGATGCCAAGACATCCGAAGCTGAGCAAAGCTTTTTCTGCTGGACAAAGCAAAGAGGGTGAATTATGTAAACTGGTCAGAAAAGCTGGCTCAGTTCAAACCCAATTACATTAATTTTACACCAACAACACCCTCCAGTTACTGCCAATTTACACAAGCAACATGGTGCCAGCTACAACCATGGAAAAGTCACAGAAGTTGACCAGGTTCAGTGCACATCTAAATCCTTTGCTGAATAAGCAAGTACCACATTTCGGCTCAAGTGAGTGCACTTCACCAGCTGATCGTGTTGAATGGTGTTGTGCCATATTTCTCTCCTTACCTGCTGCAATAGGTGGGTGACACTAAAGCCTTTCTACCACTTGGTGCTGGGAGCAGACTGAAAGGTGCTGGAGGTCATCATGGACTCACAGGACGATCAGAGGAAGGTTCTGTGCTCTTACAGAGACTGGTGAAAAATGACTGACCTTTAATTTCCTTGCAAAACTTTGCCACTTTTTAAAGGAAAGGGCTTTGTCTCTTCCTTCCCCCCAACTCCTTCCATTGTTATTCAGAAGTATTTTAGGCAGAGAAGATCATCTTCCATCCAGCTGACACTGCTGTGATGCCTCAGTCTCCCAGATGCAATACAACAAGCACACAGCAAACAGCAGTGAAATTCCTTTCCAACATCAAGCCCAGGAAGAGTGGTGTGTTTTTTTTTTAATGCAGACTTAATTTATTGGCGAACAATAAGGGCTATAAAAGCAGTCATTTCAAGGTTAACGTGCTACTCAAATATCCAACAGTCAAGCAGAGTGAACAATCCATAACTAATTGCTTATTTAATTGCACACTCTTTGTGCATGATGCAACTGTAATGTTCCTGAAGGCTTTAGGTTCCCCCTCAGCCCCCTTCCATTTAAGCAAACCATAAAACTTCTGTATCTGGTCTCCAACATGTGCACTTTGTTGCTTGACTACATCAAGCAAGAGGTATCATTTCCCAATTAAATTGTTTCTATAGGCATTAATTAAAGGCAGCAAATCATGGAAAAAAATACTGAGGAAAGTTCATATAAGCTATTTTTAAACGTGGGTTTTATTTTCTTTTTTTTGGGGGGTGGAATAATGAAAAACAGTCTCAAATATCAGGCTTCTGAAGGAAAGACAGAAGGAAAGACCTGCATGGAGGATCTCCATGGAAGGAAACACAACCAGGTCCCAGCATCGAAACACAACGAGGTCCCAGCATCCAGCAGTAGGTCCTGCATTATTTAATGCACAGATTCCCGGTTACCAAAACCCAAAGTGTGGGGTAGTGTGCCACAAGCCAAATTACGAGCCCAGTTTCAATCATTCCACTGCTCTGAATTTTTTTAAATCAGAATAAAAAGTTTTGCTTCATTACCATCCAAACCTGTTAATTTTTGAAACTTTAATTTACTCCTTAACTATAGGAACATATAGGAATAATCAACTTTTAATAGCATCATTTTAATTTTTCTGAAAAATGACTACAGAAAATCCAATCTACAGACTTAAATATTTAATACCAACTTAAATATTTCTTACATATCACAAGCTCCCTAAACTGGATGTGCCATTATTCTTTAAGATACTCTTTAAGAATAGATATTATGGCCCTAAGCATCCTTTATGCAGGGTCTGCCCTAAAAATATAGGTGTTATCTAGCAACATAATCTCATATTATAGATTTTAACTATAGTTAAGAGCAGAAAAGGCTGAGTTGAGGGCAAAAAGCTTGTGGAACTCTTTCAGATTACCTCCTGACACAATTTGGATTTCTCCATTTCACAGAAGGTATCTTCTTTTTTTTAAAATCAATACTTGGAATACAACTTTTCCCTTATCAGCCTATCACAATTAAGAACAGACTCAACCTACCACACTCGCTGACATCCTTCAAGTGCAGTGTTTATAGGAGAATTCAATTTAAACTTTATTAACTTGCTAAAACTTTCCTGCACTTTGATGCAATCATCCAAAATTAAATAGTTCACAACAAAGATAGCCAACGCCAATTTATTCTGTTCACATTTCCATGCAATAAAAAATGACTAGCATGTTAAACTGCAAATCCCTCAAGTAGATCATAGCATCCTGGAGAAAATGTCAGGAATAATTAAGATGGAAAACTAATTTGGCAAGTACTGCTACCAGACACTGTGTGGGGAAAGAAGAAAACCAAGAGCTGTGGGAAACTTTATTCTACCCCTTCATTTTGCTCTTAAAAATATAGGATCACCAGTCAAAAATAAAACTGTTACACATTTAGCATGTTTGCTCTGCGAATGGAGGCTTTTGTTTCATGAAACATTTAGTGGATGATCTTTCCATTATCCCTATTAATAGAGGTTTTGAGGAAGATGCAGAACGTTATCATCTGCTTTACGTAGACCGTAGGCTTCAGCACGTCCCCTCGTGTTTAATGCAAGCTTTCATCACCGCCTTCAGCTCCGTGACAACTCCTCTGTCCTTCACACAGGACCAGAAAGACGTCACTGCAACCCAACTGCTCCTGGATAGATGGGGCCATCTCTCAAAGATGCGACAAGAAGTGAAGAGCACTTCCTGCTGTGGGTGGGGGAGAGAATTAGCTGTCTGTTAATTACCTCTGTGCTGCCTTCTAATAAAAACCAGAAGTGGTTCTGCTGTTTTTCGGTGTCCATGCCTCTGCCATCGTTTCGATGGTCCTGCACAGCTACGGGAACCTTTATTAACCTCATCTGTAAAAACAGAGCTCTGACACTTGCACTTTCAGGCATGAAGATGACTTCTACCCACAGGGACACACTACCTGTGTAAATATCATTTCCATTCCAATTTTCCTAATTTGTAAGTGTGACTGTGCTTTCCAAATGCACCAGCATGGCTCAAAGAGCAGCTTTCCAGTGCAGACAGAACTCTAGCGTCATTTCTAGCTCACAGAACATCCTTTACCTTCCCCTCCTTTCTCCATGCCCTTTTCTAAACTGACCTCTAGCAGACAAAATATCACCCCCACATCTGGGCTATAGCCACAAGTGCTTACAACAGAGCCATGACATTTTACCACTAGCTAGCACATGTATTTTGCTTCCTACGTACAGCTGAAGAGAGGGGTGGTGATATATAAAAATTCTAATTCTATTCATACTGACATTTACTGTGGAATCCCAGCAATAGGGAAAACTCTCGTTTTCAAGCCTTGCTCACACACAAGTGGCCTAGAAAGTGATCTGGAAGTTTTAAACCCCTGCATGGAATTTGCAAAACCAACTGACTTGCTACACAAAAACACTAGCATGTTTTAATTAATCAAAGTAAAATACTTAAGAGGCTGCCAAATGAAAGTCTTGGAAAGAAAGTGGTATTTCCTACTAAAGGTTAGTGACTAGAAATAGGTTGGTGGGGATTTTTATATACATTTAATTAAAAGTCTAGCCATTGTCGTTACAGGACACCAGTCAAAAAGAATTTGGACAATTCAACTCAAGTCTGTAAGGAGCTTTATAGTGCCGTATTCATTCTAGCCATGGAAGCCAGCACTATCTACACAAAGAGTCTCATGGCTGGAAATAAGAAAACAGTATCTTCTGACAAGAGGAGTGCAGGAAATAATTCATGGCTGCAGCTTGCGAATCCAAAAAGTAATTATTTCCATTCCCAAATACAGCCATTTGCTCACTGTACTCAGCTCACTCTGCAACATGGTACAAGAAGCCTATTGGGTCACCTTTTGCAGGATTTGAAGGATTGAAACATACTGGTTCAGCATCCATTGGAGCAAATTCCAGCTTTTAATAGATAACCTTCCAATCAGCAAGGCACATAGGTCTGGTAAAACTAAGATATCCTGTCTCTGTGACAAGCCCTTTACTCTGTATTTTAAGGATGCTTGCTATGGGAAAGACATTATTCATAGCACACTTGGTCATGTTTACTAGAAGTCTCCAAACTTGCTGCCAGCCACTGCACAACAGGCTACTGAGCAAAGCTTTAAGGTCTACAACTCAAAACACGGCCCCTCCTGTGTAAAACATCAGGTGTTATCTTTGGAAAGCTATTGGGATAGCTCTCAAATTATCAAGATGCACTGGCACGTGTTCAAGTCCATTTCTATTTAGCGTATCAGTTAAATGGAAAGTGATAAGCATGCACTTCCAGTCTTAGAAGTTGCTAGGCTTGCCCCTACGTTTAAAATTAGGGAGGTGCTTCATTGAATCAAGAAAAATCTCATTCCTCTGGATTTAAGGATAAAGAAAAGCCTTCCTATTCTGCAGCTGCAGCTTTCTGCTAAAAAATCCTGTCCTGGTCCACCTTTCCCAAAATTCACGTGCATCTAGAACTCAGGCATTCCCTAAACTTGAACAAAATCCTTGATTTTCGTGAAGGCAAATTATTGATTTCAGTAGAGTACCAAACAACTTCCACCACACTTCTCTGAACAGAAGACATTTCCTCAAGCCATTACTCCATCTTCTTCTGTAAGCAATGCCATTTCCAAAGAAAAATGGAGAAATAATTCAAGATTAAAACATGAATTAACTTATTTTTAACCCCCATAAATGAAGATGTTTAAGTTGCTACCTGCTTCTTGGCAGTAATTTACATGTCAATGGATTTTGTGGGGTTTTAATACCTAATTGTTTTGTATGTCAAAATGAACTGTTGCCATAGCAATCCCTACATGCTATGTGAGATGTATTATTAGTGAAGTGTCTCCTTAAAGACAAAGCCTACCCAAACACTCATTGGCAGCTTCAATGAGAAGCCATAAGCTAAGCCATGCGTCTAAATGTCCACACTCTCCAGACATCTCAAAACCAGAGATTCAAAAGAGGAAAGTCAAGAGTGAAGACCATTATTAGCCTTTTTTTGATGCCCTGTTTTACAACAAAACTCTGATACAGTTGATGTACTTTGTGCATCATTTTCTAGCAGGGAAGCATTCTGGTTTTAGATTTTCTTTTCTTTTTAGTTTTTAAACAGCTTGACTGGTACAGTAACATAAAAAGAATTCCTTATGAACTCTGACATTTTAGTCCTCAAGAGAAGTTCTTCTGTTAGTTTATTAGCACTGGCCTTCAAGTTCCCAGTTCATTTTCTGTCTGCCACAGATTCCTCCACAACCATCATTTGAAATAATAAATAGGCTTTAGGATTTCTTTTTTTTTTTTCTCCAATGCAGAATGTTAATGCTTGTCTTCAAAGAGCATGATGCAAACCTGAGAACAAAATAGTCCTTGGGCTCACAACACTGTATAAATTGATATGCTGAGACTAAGCAGCACTAGCTATGATGACAGCATATCTCCTGCCACTCAACACACTTTATCAAAACTCGTTGCCTTAAAACTACATGATGTTTTAAGGTTACTAATCATCAATGTCCTTATTTAGCTGGTGGTCAAAATAAAGTTAAGAGATTGGGTAATTTGGTTCAGGTGAGTAAATAGTACCTGGAAAGCTAACAGAGTAACATGAGGTTCAATGGGTAGGGATCACTTTGAATCAGGACATTTGTGCTGGAGTACTGCAGCCCTAGTCCCTCTTCTTCCTGGTGGCTTCTTCACTCAGGAAGAGGTGGAAAGAGTGTGGCAGCTGGACACAGATATAGAAATGTTTGCACAAGTGCAATGATGCTTATGTGCAAATGATTCTAAATTAATTAAAAGTTTGATGCGAAAATAGTTAAGAAACCTCACCTTGGGACACATGCAAGTCAATGAGATCCAGTATTAAAGGGTCATCTAAATTGAAGACATCAAGCAATTCACTGAGGAAAGTTCATATAATGAAGCAGGTGTCTGTGCTGAACTATGTTCTTCATGTCAGAGGAGAGGAAGGAAACACATGAACAAAGCTCTTTGAGATGCCAGGGTTCAGGTAACAGCAGCTTTCTTATATTCTGTTGTCCAGAGTAATTAAGAGTTGCCAGGACAGCCTGGAGACCCAACACCAGCTTTCTGCAGGATTACAAGAGTCATTTCTCAGCCTAAAGAGCTGAAAAGGAGCTGTTGATAATGCTTTACCAGCTAGATTATTTGCAGTCCCACATACACCTATTTCGACTTCTGAAAGGCACTTAACATTTCCCTTGATCTAAATAGATTAAACAAACACTGTCCTATTGTTACTGCAGTGTTGCTCGTGTCATTTAATCTTCAAATTCTCTTCTATACTATTTCTACAAGTAGAAATTTTAACGATTTGTAGTTGAAGCCCTTTAGATTTCTTTGCTAAACTACAGTAGCATTACTTTACACCTCCCACCTCCCCAAGGACCCGATATATCAAACTACTTTTTCAACTCCTGCATTTCCAAACGTTTTAAACACCTTAATGACTTTTCTCACTGGACCATAAAAATTATTTATAAATTCATTTTAGGATACTCACACAACAAGAAACCCATAACACATCGTGAAACACAAATTATATTTACTGGAGTATAAAAAATTCTTTGTGTCTATGTATACGTAATGAAGGAAAAAGCCAACTGCTTCTCAAAGTGGACTCTTATTATAAGCAATCACCAACTGCAAGGTGAAGAGGTAATGAATTATTTGCTCTAGAGTAATTTTTTAAACAAACAACTTGACAGAAGAGAGCAGTACCTTCTAAGACTTAATTTGAATTAAGTACGTTTGGTGTGGTTGCAAAGAATGATCACAGTGTGTTTCACATCTAAGTAGCTGCAGCATCTGCTTTCCTCTAAGGTTAATACTAACACCATGGGCTATTAATCTTTGTTACCTCTCCAAAACCAAGCAAGGGAAATCACCCCAACACTGCCATTTCAGGGGAAATATTTTTTAATCAAGATTCATGTGTTATTAGGGCTCCAGAAGAAGGAGAGGTTAGTTTTTCCATAACTAATGATATGTGAAGCATTGACAGCTGGTAGTCATTTTGGAAACAGTCAGCTGTTGAAGGCATAACTATATAAACACAAACACATTCAATCACACACATAAAATTCTAAAAATTAAGTTAAAAAAATATGAATATTGAAACTAAATTCCATCTCCTCAAAACATAACCGGCAGTTTTGACCTCTGACTCCCATCGAGATCCTTCGGTAATGTTCTCAAATGTATAGACATCTATGTACCTCATCCGTCCTAAGCGGAGTCTTGCCAAGTATAACCTATCCTAAGGATATTTGCCATTCTAATAGCAATGTTTGCAATCCATACACAGAATGTTGACAGCTAGACAACTTGGTTGATCCTAGAAAGGTTCCCATCTGGTCCCATCGATTTGCGTACATCCAAGTGCCATAGCAGGTTGTCAACCATTTCCTCATGGATAGTGAGGGCCACATCCTGCTCCCCATCCCCTTCCACCAGTTCAGGGTACTGGGCAAAGAAGGCATTAAGCACCTCCACCTTTTCCTCATCTTTTGTAACTAAGTTCCCCCCTGCATCCAGTAAAGATGGAGATTCTCCTTTGTCCTCCTTTTTGTGTTGATGTACTTGTAAATACATTTTTTGTTGTCTTTAATGGCAGTAGCCAGATTGAGCTCCAGATGAGCTTTGGCCTTTCTAATTATGTCCCTGCACTGCCTCGCAACGTCCTTATAGTCCTCCCAAGTGGCCTGCCCTCTTTTCCAAAGATTATAAACCCTGGACTATTAAAAGAGGATAATAGTCAGGGGCGAACCAGGTTGGGAAGCTTTCTGGCAATGTCCCTGACCCTGGCCCCAGGGAGGCAGCAGACTTCCCTACGGGTAGGGCCAGGCCGACAAACAGGGCCCTCTGCTCCCCTGAGAAGAGAGTCGCCCACAACAATCTCCCTTCTTTCTGTCCTGGTGGAGGCAGTCCTGAGGTGTGGAGTTGACATCCTTGCCCTAGGCATCCTCCTGGTTAGACTTTCTACCTCTTCCTCAGCTACCAGTCTCTCAAGCTCCAGGGCCTCAAACCTGCTGTATAAGGGCACCTGGGAAGGTGGGGCCGGTAGGGGTGGCATCGCCTGTGACCTGTTTCCATTTCTCCTTAACTCCTGGGTCCCCTCCCTCTGCCCGACAGCAACAGGGCATTTGGGGTGTCTCACCCCGGTTCCTGTCCTTCAGGCCCTGCAGGGAGTTGTTCCGTAAGTCTATCTCCTGCTCACACTCCCTGATATCCCTCAACCTCTCAACCTCCTCCTTGAGTTCTGCCACCAGGACCAGGTCATCCACCTACTCACACCTCAAATGGTATCAGAGAGCAAGAGAGAGACACCAATGTTTTCAGGATTGGCAGACCAGGATTCTCTTCTCTGTGGGAAATGGGTCGTAACACCTCTTTTCAAGTTTATTATAAAGTATTTCAAAGCAAAGCTTAATCTGCCAGATCTATAATGCAGATTTTTAGTAGGATCCTTGTGCAAGGGAAAGGACATAAACCACCTGCCTTTGAATTCAGATGAAAACATGGATGATCTAAATCATCCAAGCCTGGTATATAAATGAAAAGCAACAACCAGACCAGGGACTGATCCCTGGAGAACCTGGTTATGATTCACTGTGGAAGATGAAAAGCTGTCTGTGTAAACAAATTGTTTATGGTCTGTTAAGCGAAAGTAAAACCAATGGAGTGCAGCAGATGCAATTCCAGCTGAGGATTCAATCTTACAAAAGTGCACGGCTCTGACCCTGCAGCCCTTTTTCATAAGAACTTTCCCGGTAGACACTCAAACAAGCAAGGACTGCAGCATTTGCCATCTGTGCCCAAACGGCCCCCAAAGAGAAGAGTCAAAGCTTGAAGGAGCACTTTGTGTTCTGCCATTTGA